AAAGAAAAGAAAAGAAAAGAAAAGAAAAGAAAAGAAAAGAAAAGAAAAGAAAAGAAAAGAAAAGAAAACGAAAGAAAAGAAAACGAAAGAAAAGAAAAGAAAAGAAAAGAAAAGGAGACATCGCTGTTACTGTAATTCACACTTAGCTCAGTCTATAAAACTTCTCTCTTCCTGGATCTAAGCCAACAACTTCAATTTTTAGTGAATGCTAAAGTCAAGTTGCCCTGGTGATAAATGCATCTGTGGGGAAGGGAGGGGGGAAATCCCCTCTTTCCCTCTTTTTGCAGAGCTCAACAGTTTTCTATGGTATTTATGTAGTTTCTGTAGTGGACACGAAGATGTATATTAACAAGGGGCTGCAACAGAAACCAGCAATGAGAAATGGGAGGAGAACTTAATTATAGCATCCAGGATTGTCATTAGGGTTGGAGCTGTAATCACAAAGAAGTCATCAGATGGCTTAGTTGGTGCCTGCTAAGCTCCTGGAATGAATTTATAGAAGTGCAGAAAGCTAATAGTGCTGTGAATCTGTCTTAACATACATCCCTGTGGCTGTCTTTGTGGAGAAGACCAATGCATAAACTATATTTTTATGCATCTTGACCTTCCATCGAGTGTATGGAGAAAGATGCTGGTGGGTATCATTACTCTGATCAGGCCATCACCAGCAGCAACTGCAGGTCACATCTGAGCAGGAGATGGGAGGTGGAAACACCAACAGAGTTTTTATCACCATTTGCTGGGAGAAATTGCCAGCTAGAGCCTTCCTCTGATGGTAGATGTGGGAATATCAAAGGAGGAACAGGCACCTCCTTTACCTCAATCTACAAACAAAACACCTTCTTGCAGGCAGATTAGAAAATAACATAAAATCTGTTGAGGACAAGTTTCCATTGACAGCAAAGAGCTGCTGAGAAATGAGTCACGCAGGAACAATTCAGTCAAACTTCCCACACTCTCACTAGGGACTTTGAAGACAAAAGTACTCCGATTTTGATGGAAAAATAAAACTAGAAATCTTTT